CGCAACCAAGGAATCATACTCAATGCTGGACTTCAGCACTACAGGCGGTTTGTGTAGGGCCAAAGTAACACACTATCCCCTATGTGAGCAGGTTAAATCAAACTATGTAATCCTGAAAGAAGCACAAACATGATGGAAATATCAGTTAGTAATATGTGTTCAACTTTTATTTAACCACAACATAATTTTGAAAGAAATAATTTGCCTCCGTTATAAAACATTTACTTTGTTGGCCCACCTAAAAAGAGTTTTTGGGACACAAGTTCAAAGTGTAGCAAGAAACTAAGCCGACTGGAGTGATAATTTCCTGAGCAACTGTTAATTCATCTTTAAAGAATTCATCTTTCTTCAGCTCTGTCTCATCCACCACACTTGTGGTAGACCAATGCTCCACCTCTGAGAAACACTGCTCTCTGGGGCAAGTGACACAATTATTCAGAGAAATTGAACATGTTATTCACCTGCCCAAACAAACAAGTTACCGAACACACCACAGTGATGCAGGAGAAGGTCTGATCTGGATGTGGACGTTGTCTCTGTCTGTTTTAGTATTTGTGGGTCACACATGCAAAAAGTAATCAGGCCCATTCTTTTGTTTAGTATGCATTTTTACAATGTCTGCCAAGACTGCAGGCTTTAATTTTAGTATGACTGTCACTCCTTATCTGAGTCACACCAACCAAACAAACTAATGATGTAATTGAAGCTGTAACTAACCGTACACTCAAACATAGCAAAGTGTCTACAGCAGCGTTGCAGTTGTGAACTTGTTTCCCCTAGTTGTTGTTGGTTTGCAGTGAGAAAGCTACCAACAGAACAGGTCATAGAAATGTGAATATTTACTGGCGACAGGTGGAAATAGCAGCAACAATTCTCAATATTATGAGATGAGAGACAATTTCCTCCACTTCACCAACTTCACAGAGGTAGTCTTATTTTTAAAGCTGAACATACTTTTTTGTGTTGTGGTGTCTTATTACAGTACACAAATACAAAAAACAGTGTCACTTCTCCTATATAGATGCTGTATGGAAAAAATACAGATGCAACAGACAATAAAATGTGGAAATGACCCTCAGCTCTATGAGCACAAAAGGCTTCCTGCCTCACAAACAAAATTCAAGCCAGCCAGACTCACATGGTGTAAGTGCATGAGTTAACAGAACCTGAGACAGTGTGGGCTGAACACTGTATCCCTGCGCCTCTCACAGTCTGAACTCAAATGAATTCCTTAGGGAACAAAGCTGTTTTATGGTGATGCAGAGTGGGACTTCAAGAGGGGGGGCTGGGGCAGCTGCAGTACAAACCATACTACACTGTATATCCATGTGTACAACATTTGGACACATGGATATTGATATGACAATGTTTATAAGGAGTGCAGTCATGAACAGAAACACTAGACTACTTTCCCCCAGTCTTGCAGAGTGTACAATACAGTCAGCATCAAGCTTCAAGAGGCGCAGCCCATGATGTTTGTTGCTTAGCAACACAGCCTTGTCATCAGCTTACTCCTTTTTACCAGTCACGACTAACACAAACACAGCTCATCATCTCTCTTCAGGCAGCCAGTAAACGCAGAACACTTACAGCTACACTACAACTCCACATTGAAACTCCTGAGGCAGCGTTTTATAAAACATCACTGAGACGTGTGTCAGTGCTGACCACTGAGGAAGGACACTCACTCTGGATGACCCATGTATTTGTCTGAGATATCTACTTTCACTATGTCACACACCCTAAACAGCCACTGACATTCATGGGAGATGTTTCAGGTTGACAGATATTTTGAGGGTCGATTTATGGGTAATAAGTGTACCCTTTAATGTCAGTGGTTTGTGCTGGTTTACATCATCACAGCACATACTGTCGCACTGCTGATCACAACTTGTATGACACGACGGAGGTTTGAACATTTAAAACAAAAACCTCAAGATGCACATTAATACATGGTTAAAGGAGCCGAGCTCTTCCTTTCCCTCCACCTCCAGATTCACAGGCTGAGACTCAGCAAGGCCTCCAGACCATCTCTGCACATGCACAGGCTCATGTAGTTTTGTCTCATAGCAACAAGTGAAGCGGGTCCCTGAAGCCATCTTTTACATTGGTGACCCTACATAATATCAAGCAGTATGGAGCAGAGATAAACTCACTGTGGTCACATTTATTGCTTGGGTAGAGAGATATCTTGAAGACTGACCTCCAGTGTATGAAAATGATCCAGCAGTTAAACAGAAGGGCATGTGATTGTCACTGTGATATCAGCACCACTTGCACTATGTTATCCTACACAGAAGAAAGTCATTAATTATAAGGTGAAAGGCTGATCATTGACACACTTTCACTATGCTCAGCCACCACTTTTAAAAAGACGTATGACTTCAAAACTACAAGGCTGAGATGCTCTTGTAACACCTGGTCAGTGTATTCTGAACCACCAGCTGTGAAGACATGAAGATTATTGGATCTATTAATAACTCAATAACTAAAGGAAGGACACAGTGAACAGTCATCCAGGACATGGAACAAGAAACACAATGTGACTTATTTTTGTTATGTACATTGATCAGATGATGGCACTATGCTCCCATCTCACTTTATATTTATCGTAGCAGAGACATCTCGTCTGATGGAGATAATCACAACACTGTTTTTGGAGGATATGTTCACTGGTCTTCTTACACGTGAAAAGATGAGTCCATAAATCCTCATAAATATGGTGATCTGTTTCAGCGTGTCGAGCTAACACAGAAAGACGAATGTTTCTTTGGTACAAAGTTAATCATGTGGCCTGTGTAAGTATACATTTAGTGTGTGGCTGGTTCATCATCAGCACAGAGATTTAAAAGTATTACAGCCGTCACTCTTTTCCAATGGAAACATACTGTAGAAGTCCAGCAGGAAGGAAAGTATCACCTGGAAGTCTTTACAGTCATTTTTCTTTAGAAATGACAAATCTAGCCATGTGAGTTTATAGTACTGAAGTCTTGGGGCACATGGATAATACTATTCACATCTCTTAATGTGTAGGTTCAAAAACAAGCCAGCCTCCCCTCCCAAACACACCATTACCTCCCCATAAATAAAGCTGTATGTACTCTATATATCTGTATGAATTAATTAATACATGAACGAGGAAACAAATATCATGAATATAACTTCCCTCAGACTTCATGTCATGCCCACCCCCTTTGCCATTTTTCATCTTGAAAGTCTATTTTAAGCCATAAACATTGCACTCTATTGATGTGAGCCTCTACTTAACTAGTTTTAAGTTTCTCCTCTTATCTCAGGATTTTTCTGTAGTTTGACCTTTTACAGACTTATCCAATTAATTGTGTTTAAACAAGGTGGAAAATATTTCAAAATAATAAGTGAGGAAATTATCTCTTTGACAGGATGGTATTAACAGTAGACAAAAAGTAAAGTGAGACCGACTTGTTCTCGTATTCAGTTTTGTCTTCACAAAACAGCAAACTACATGACTGTGAAACCAAATCCGAACACTGCCTTCATCCCAATGACAGTGACCATACAGGAAACCTCGTAACTGTTGCATTAACTTACTATGTTGTTGCATTCATCAGAACAGTTGACACGTCAATAGAAAAAACTGAAGTGCATGATATCATTAGCATCATGAGATGAGAGGGATGAAATGGAGGAAGGTTAAACAAATGACAGTACAAGAGATCTCATACTTACAATCCTCTACATCGAATAACATTACAGCATCACTACTGCACACGACGTCACGTCTGTGGTTCAATTTGATCAGAGTTAACTGGTTTGATAGCCGTAGGCCCGGAGTGTCGGTTAGCACACGCTAACAAGCTAATCTAACGTTACTACGGCAGCTGGAGAGTCAACACATTAGCGACATAAACTAACCGGCCTACTTCGGTTTACCTCGTTGACCAACGGCTGGACAACGGTTGGATAATATTAGCAGCGTTATCCAACCAAGAGGGCAACGTTAGCAAAGCTAGGTAAGCTAAGATACAGCAATGATAGCCAATTCAGTGGCTCTACAGGCGAACTTAAACGTCAGATTGCTAACGTTGGTTAGCTTTAGCTGCTGAGCGTGTGCTAACATTTTTGCCGGAATACTACAATAACTTGAGATAAAGTTGACGGTGATTTAAAATTACAGACAGAGGTGAAACCACAGCAGCACAACATGATTCCCTACGTATTCTGCACGTAAATCACTGCCGTTATTCACTTCCCCCGGTGCTCATCTCACCTTGTTGCTGTCATCCTCCTCGCCTGTAACACTTATGTTTTGCTGCCATTGGCGCTGTCGCAGTTTGTCAGGGTTGCCAGATAGCGCGAGGGAAACAAGTAATCTAAGCTGCGAAAAGAAACCGGAGTCAGACCACTTAGAAACTTCATGTCTCCCCCACTGCCTACTTAATCAGACATTTCATCAACGCAGGGATTTACTGATGCTGACTCTAGCTTGAGAACTGTCATTAACCCAGAGCAGTGTGAATGCTGCCCTCTGAAGATAGATAGATACACAGACAGACAGGGGTAGTAATAGGAAAAACGTTATGAACTTAAATTGGGATATAAATTCTAAAGTCCACAATAGTTAAACCTGCTTGAATGATTTGCTCCAAACTCAAAAGAGTAAGTCCCATTCAGTTTAAATACAGAAGTCTGGCAGACTATACTAGTCATGCACTTTTAAATAAATCGTGTGTTAAATGTTCATGCACACACAATATTTCCAAGTTGCGAACCATCATATGGCTCAGGAGCTTTGTGTCGACTTCCAGTCAGTCCTGAACCAGACCAGGGGCTTTCTGTCCACGTTCTCCACAGGTGTTCAGGTGAACAGGAAACTCTGAAGTGCTCCAAAGTGCCAGTGTAAATGTGACCACTAATCTGTCATGGTTTCCTGCCTTAGGCCCCCATTGATGCTGGGAGAAACTTCAGCTCCCCAATCAGCCAGAACAGGCACAATGAAAGAAAATGGAACAAGAAAGAGATGATGTCTTGTCATGTTTATTTTAGTGTAAGGCAGTGTTCTACTCTGATAGACTGTAACAGACTGATGACTCCTGTAGTATAACATGGATTAACTTTCAGACAATTAAAAAAAATGGAAAATTAAAATAAGAAAACTTAAACAAATCAATATTGCCAATTTGTAATAACCATTCTAAATACAATGTTACAGTATACAAATAGCTGATAATATAAATACATGTTTTGACATTTGTTCAATATTACGCCATAAAAAACTACATGATCTGACACTTTAACCTCTGACCAATCAAACATTAAATTCACAAGAAAATGATACCAGTTTATCTTTTTTAACATATCATTTCAACTCCAAAACTAAATCAAACAGATTTTTCATTAAGGTACAGTAACACAATAATGGAGTGCATCATCAGTAAGAATTCTGCACTTCACAGGTCACTCAACTGCTGGAAAATAGGACCAAAGAAAAACAGCAACTACAGAGAGGCCAAACTGTCTGGTGAGAAACAAATGATAACTATTAGTTTTTTTTTTCTTTGATTTGTTTTGATTTACCATTTTGTAGATATTTCACTCTGACTGTTTCCTATATGTCTCATGTAAAGCACTTTCATACCCAGAGGAACTGTACGTAAAATGTGCAACACAAATAAAGTGGCCTTGCCTTGCACAGCTGTCTACAGTATGTAAATGAAACAACAGCCCATCTGGACATTTCCTGTTAAAGATTAATTTAGCTTAATTCATTTCAAATATAACCCATGAAGATAAAGAGACATGTTTTCTATGGTGAGATACTCCCCTCTGAGATACTCGTCGTCATTTTGCTTCCTAAACCCAATCTGGTCTGAAATTAGGTAAACCAAGAAAACAGGTAGAAACCTCCATCATGACAGGCTCACATTAACCTTACTGGAGCAAACAGAGGCTGTGAAAAAGCAGTAAACACAGACATAAGCTGGCACTTAAAGCATGAGCATACATGTGTTCAGAGGCAACTGGCAAAGTAAGCAAGTTTGGCTAGCACTGTTCAGCTGTGCTATGGAAACCAGGCTAATAATAATCTAAGTGTGGCATTACTATTGAGACCTGGATACTGAGGCTACATATGAATAAACACATTCTAGTAATATTCAACAGCTTAATGAGATGAATCTGTGAGCAATTCAAATGCAAATCAAACATTTACTCCCTTAAATACCTTCAGTGAATTGACAGTATGTGATCAGTGAGAGACAAGCAACTGTTACTGTGCAAATGCAGAAAATCCCTTTCCACTTCCCAATAAGACATTGTTGTAGATGACGCAGCATGATGCACCAACTTCACGTTTTCATTAGTGTCCTGTCTATCACAGTTTACTGCTACTTCTCAAAGGAATCAGTTGTGCAAGTAAAAATGAAGCAACAGTTACTCCTTTGGGTGGAACATAAAAGCACTCATTGGCACATATACATGTGATCTTAAAGCCAACTGCATGACTAATAGCCTTTCAATTAAAGGTTATCTCGGGGTGTTTGTTGCAGGCTACCTCCCTGGGCGTTCTTGTTTCACTGAGGACGGCCATTTCATCCTTCACACCTGTGTTTAAAGGACTCCCAGTATGAGATGTTCCCTCCCTGTTAGCCGCTGGTCTGCTTTGATCACACTGGTTGTAGGGCCGCAAATCAGTGGCAGCTTTACAAAAAACATCATCGTCAATATCATCCAATACCTCCTCCACCATTCCAGGATAAACAAAGGTGCTATGAGGTAAACGAGAGTCTGATTGTAAAGGAAGGTGACACTGTCTCTTGTAGAGTTCTGCACTCTGAGACATTAAATCACAGGACACTCTGTCTGACACATCAGAGCAGAGACGTTGTGATTTACCTTCAGAAAATTCACCGCCGGATGAAGTAGAAAATATTTTGTGTTTCACTTGGGCTTGACTCACACTTTGTACTTTTTCAGTGATTTCCCCATCTGCCAGGGGAAGGCTTAAAGCCATTTCTGACCTTGTTTGCCATGATAAGGCCATAATGCTACTACTGTCTTTAATGTCCGATGCAGACATGAGTACATTCTTTTTGTAATATGGTGAGTCTCTTTCAGAGTCCTTTTCAGTTTGAGAACAAGAAACCATAGTAGCTCTTTCCTCTCTGTATGTGTCAGGCATCTTCAACTCGAGGCTCTCTGTGTCTAGAGACCTACTTCTCCTGTCTAGAGACAATGGATTAGACATGGACTGGCTGACTCTTGTAAGGCCAAGGTGCCGTGGGAGACTAGCTATTGCCCATGTGTTACTGATCAGGTTCTGTTCGTACAGGTCTAACATTTGATAGTCAAGTTCAGCAAATGCATCCTTCTGTAGGTAGCTCTCTTCAAATTCCTGATAGGGCGATGAAATGTCCTCCTCTAGTTCCATGTGAATCTGCTCGTCATATTCACCCTCATTATGCATATCCACTACATCAAATGTGACTATAGTAGGTAAGGCCTCCATATTTGGAGTGAAGGCAGAGTTTGACTCCAAATCATCCACACTGTTGTGCAAGTTACTCAGCATCTGCGAATGTTTTGTGTAGTCCACAAGTGCTTGTGAGAAACACACAGTTTGCCCATCATCCATATCATTGTTACAGTCTGGAGACTGAGAATTGATATTTCTGTACGGTAAAGCCACAGGCTTGTTTTCCTCAATATGTTGCTCTTTGGGTTCACAAAAAGTTTCAAAATTGGGGTCAGATGTGCTTCCGAATGACACGCTGCTATGCCTTTTCTCACAGTCAGCATCAATGGATTTTGTTCTTTTTTCTGTAGAAGGAGGCATATTTCCCTTTTCATCAAACACATCCGGCTCTACATTACTCTTGTTGCCTGTTGCTTGCGGTTTTGAATTCAAATTACAGTTTTTATTCAAGCCGATTTCTTGCCGAACAAACACATTTTGAGCCAGCTCCGGGGATTTACTGTTCTCTAGAAAATCGTGAACCTCATACAGTTCAGCACTTATTTGCAATCGATTCATTTCTGGCACAAAGGCAGAATCTGTCACATCAACTGGATCACTTAAATACTCGCACTGTTTTGACCCAGGCAGTTTAGATTTATTTTCATAATGTGGACTGATGAGACTCTCATCAGGTGCAAAAAGTTCGTAGAGAGCATCACCGCTGTAACTGTCCCTGGGTAATCTCTCTGTCCTCAGTCTGTCACTTTTTTCCTGCCCTTCATCTGGCCCCGGGGTTGTTGAGTCATAGTAGCCCTCATCACTGTTGGGAACGGATTCTTGATGCTCACTTTGAGGAGTTAACACATCAGCAATGGAAGAGGTGTCCATGCCACTGGCTTGCTGTACACTGTTACTGTTCAATAAGTCCATATTGTGAGAGCTCGTCAGCTCAGCAGTCATATCTGTGTGGTCTTGGTTGCAAGTGCAGCAGATTTCTTCTGAAGCATCATTTCCCCAGATATCTTGAAGACACTCTTCGTCCAGATTTTCAGGTGAGGCCATTTCTTCACCGCCGCCCTGATAAGTGAGATAACAAGAGGCCCTCTTTCCTCCATTTCTGCTCCTTTCTCCAGAGACTGTGCTCTCTGTGATGCTGTCATCTTCTTGATCTGCAATAATGTCCCCACAGCCAGTGAGCGAATCAAAGCTCTTCAATGATGCAACGTCTCCAAAAATCAGGTTTAGCTGATCCGCAGAACCAGCAGCTGTTTCAGACTTCAATTCAGGCTCAGATGTCATCTGAAGTTTGAGGCAAGGCTTGCTGTGTCCTCGAGGAGTCTCCTCATTATCACTGGAAACTACAGCCATCAAATTCATTTCCTCCATGTGATCATCACACATCTGATCATCAAGCTCAGACCTTGGGCTTTTTTGCCCCACACTCTTCTCTAATGCCGTAGCATCAACATCACTACATTCAGGACCAATGGAAATATCACATAGAACATCTGCAAAATCAGGCACATCAGGTTCAGATCCCAGGCACTCTGTGACATACAGCTTGGTGTTGTCCTGGACAACAGGCACCTCCTTGTTGCAGTGAGGGGTTGACATTGCAATCATCTCAGTTTTATCCAATCCAAAATTTCTATGGTTTCTGTGATGCTTAAAACTGTGAAACAGACTCCTCAAACCCTTTTTCTGCCGGCCGAGTGTCAATGATTTCTGGTCAGCAGTGGGGTGACTACATTCATTGTGGCAGTGACTGCGGAGCTCTCCAGAACAGTCCCTCTGGCTGTGGTATTCAGAGTCTCCAGCTGAGGTGTATTTACCTCTCAGACTGTCATCATGACTAACCTTACTCAGCCCATCGTGTGTTCTGCTCTTGGGGATTCCTTTCTTAGAGGACCACTTGTTCTGATTTTTACTCCTTCCACTAAAAAAACTTGGTAAAATACAGATGCTTTTACGAACTCCAAAAAATGTCAGGGCAGTCCTCCTAAATTTCCCAGATTTTTGAGGTTTCACCGTGGCATTCAGTGCGTCCGACTGAATCTCTTCCATGATGTCATCGGGGCCACAGCGGGAGACCTGTCCAGAGACTGTAGCTAAATCCTTGGTGTCTCCAGGTAGCTCGTCTACCTTGAGAGAAGCCATGGCTGCTACACTTATGAACGCAGTTCAGCAGAGGGCATAGTAGCTGAATGTTCAAAATCAGCTGGTTTGATGATGGCAGTGAATTTGTCCTCCATCCGATGTGAGCCCTGTATTGAAAAAGTTGAGATCAACATCAGTGATCAATGGCCATATTGATATAATGGAAATAAATTGCAGAATTTTACTTTATTTCTAATAGAGGTTGGTTTTTCTAATGCGCAAAATAACCTATTTTACTTTTGCCATCCTCTGAGGTGTTGTGACAGAAAATTTTGTCTTAGCACCTACTGTACACACATCCTCATGAACTTATGTGTCTTTTATGTCATAAATGTTTTTTGTTGTTTTGTGGGGATCTACAAAGAGAGTGTATATGTAACTTGAATGTATTCAAGAGAAGCATAAAGACAAGTATTTCCTCACAGTGTTAACCTGTCTGTCACTATGCTTCTGCTGTGCTGCTCTGAAATGAAAGTCTTATGGAAGCAGGCAGCTAACATTAACTATGGTCCACGTAGACAACCGTCACAGACTGAGACCTGTTTCATCTAGAAACAAACTAAAAGCCACATTAGCACAAGCTGGCACTGCCTGGTTAGCTAACAGTCACACAGTAAACAAACTTACCAAATACAGCCACGATCTTGCTTCACGAAGTTGATTTCTCCACCTGAAGCCAAAGCTTCCTCTCAGCACAGAGCTTCTGGTCCTAACTAACCTCGACTTGTGGTCGACTCGGCCCCGGAGCAGCTCAGACCAGACACGGGCTCATTTGTTAGCTAGCTGCGGTGCTTGCTAACAACGTCCCTGCTTCTCTCCGGTGTGGGTCGTGCAGTTAGTGGCTGTGATGTGAGTGTGACAGTGAACAGCAGCACACCTCTGGATTCACGAGTCTACTTCAGCCACACATCCAGACAAAAAGCCCAGCGTTTCAATGCTGGACGCTGACTTCATCTCCACACACAGGTATACCCCTTAGGGACTCTCCTCTCGGCGCACACTAGTGACGCAACATGTGTGTGACATGTTTTATAACATAACCATCATTCCGAACGATTATAATAGGATTTTTCTTTTATTCACAAATATTACATTTCAAAAACATGAGTATTGTAAATGGTTTTAAGTTGCTGTATTTTTTTTGCTGTATTGTTATTATGATTATGATCATTATTGTTATTGTTATTATTATTTGGTGTGATTGCCATTTGTATTTTGTTTTTCCTTTCTTAAGACTTGAGTGTAGTGCAGAGTGCTGTTCAGTGCTCTCACAGACAGCATTTAGTGTCAATGGAGTCTTATTTAAATATTCAAAATGCATAAATGGTGACTAGTAAGAAGCTAAAGAACAATCCATGGCAAGTATGTGTAAGTATGCGTTAACTGTAGTGAGGACTTAATCACACTTTAAATAAAATCCTTTACTTATTTTGTTAATTATTTGGACTCAGACATAAACATTTGCTGTTCTCAAAGCTTTGAATGTTCAATGGATTATTATTTCAATAAAACACACACACTGCAAACAGATATTCTTGCTAATGCTTGAAGAATGCTGCGTTTTGAGAAATAATCATTTTATGTCTTTTATGAAACTCAAACCAGATCTGAGGGTTTTAGGAGGAGGAAGTTAAAGATGGATCATTTTGGTTCATGATACATAATGAGGGAGAGAAAGATTTTAAAAACTTTTTATCATTAAAATATTTTTCTTCTTTAAATTTACAATTATAATACATACATTTACAGCAAGATTCCTTTACAATGAGGCAATGTGATGCTCTTTTCAAAATTTGGTCAAACCTTATGCTACAGTAAAAATGAGTGCATGATCAGGCAGTATTTACAGATCTACTGAGGCTTAACTTAGTTTTACAGTGAAACTTTGTGTTTCCTCTATAACAAGTCTCTAACTGCTTATTATTTACTCTTGTACATTTTAATGTCAATGCTGTTTTTCAAAGTGCTTTTGAAATGTTTTTGGTCCTCTTCATTAATGTCCTCTTTGCTGGTGTTATTGCTGATCTTCTTGAAACCAAGTGTTCCTGATGTATTTTTCATTTATGCCTTTGACTGCCGCACATCTGTCCACTCCATTTTGGTGTTTTGTAGTGCCTGAGTCTTCTTCTCATCCACCTGAACGTAATCCACTTTGTGCTCATCAGACAGAAAAGGCTTCTAGACAAACAGGGAGAGATCTTGCTTTACAAATTGTGGATCATGCATTTCTCATTGTAAGTGATGTAATGTACAACATTCAATTCTTCAGTAACAATAGCATTCTTGCATAAGCTGCTTCAACATGATATCACATGTACATAGCGTGCAATTTATACAGGACAAGTTCTTAGCATTGATCTGATCATTTGAAAGGTAATGAAAAGGGTCAGTGGAGCTAAAAGTAAGTAGTGATTGTAATGGTGTAGCTCTGCTAAGTGTGGCTGAGCTGAGGTCAGTTACAAGACAATTCCTTTTACAATGTCAAAGGGTCATTTATCGCTCTTCAACATCTGAAGCTTGTACTGTTTAGATGGTGTGAGTTGGTTAGTGTCTACAGAGGCTCCATTTGTACAATGGAGCAAAACACAGTCCATGTCTGTCATTCATTTGATGGTAACAAACCTTCTGCACAGGAGAGGGGGATGCAGAGTTGAAATCCAGGGACAAATAATCAAGGTTTGATTTTTTCGCCCAGGGTTGAACCACTCCATCAGAGGTGTGATGGAACTGTTGCCTTGACTCCTGTCAGACACAGAAAACAGATCATTAATATGACATTTTAGCTGTTACAATGCTGACAGTGTCTGATCATGGACATCATTTTCAAATTGAGCTGAGAAAACAGGAAATGACTTCAGGAGAGCCCAGCTCAACAACACAGGACTGATATGGTTTTCTTCAAACTTCACTGCAGAGAAATGCTATTATATTATTCACACTGTTACAAGTGCTCACAGCCAGGAAGGTCCTCAGTGTGACTTTAGATATGGTGCGGAAAGTGCCATTTAAGTTCCATTGATTGTTTTTTATTTTTTGAAGGCCAGTTGTAGGTGAAGAGTAAACGATCCATGTGTTCATACGAGCTGCATGACTTGATAAGCTACACAGTGAAAGTACATTATCACCATAGCAGCTTCCTTTGATGATTTATTATCAGTAACGTCTAGGAGAGAGAAAATGAAATCCAGATTCTCTTTATGCCATGAAAGCCACATCAGGTTGTATCGTACAATATGTTTCTGATGCATTGAGTGAAACACAGAAAAAACCTGGTTGAATTGACTTCATTAATAGACAAAGAGGTGACACCGTACTTAAAGCTGTCTGTCTGTACACTACCTATGTATTGTGTGAAGTGTGTTTGCAGTACTGTGAATAGAAATGTTACCATTGTGTCTTCATCTCTTGGAATGTACCCATTGTCAAGTTTTCTCTCAAGAAGTAAACAATTCACTGAAAAGCTGCAATTACACAAAAAACAGGAAGAATCAACATCAGATTAGTGAACAACTGAGGTTTTACAGAAACTGAGAAACAGGACATTTTCCTTGAGCTGAGAAAATATACTTGTTTATGACCAAAGTCGATGATCTTTAATTTGACACAATATAAATATTAAATCTGAGAATAAATGAGATCTTGTTATAAGAAAAGGTAGTCCCTCAAACAAAACACAGGTATTAGGGAATGATCTGTAGAAAAACTGAAGCTTATTATGACCCACAGTTACGTTTTGTTGTTAGGCGACATCTAATGGTCGTAGTAATTAAGACAGGAGTAAAAGGAAAAGTGCGGTGACGTAGTATAAAGAGCGACGAAGTCCGCGTTATGAGGGTGTTGGAGTGGGTGGATTAACAAAACACAGAAATTGACACAGAACATTGGTGTTCGACTCCCATAACCAGTAGCTTATATTGTTTCTATTATCCATGGCCGTTCGTTGTTATTATTTTAACCATGACAACAAAGGTCGTCTGATGTTGAGGAAGTACTTATCGTAACCCAAATCAGGATCTTTTCCTTACCCAAACCAAGTAGTTTTTGTGCCTAAACCTAACCAAGCCATTAGCGTATTATTACAGTAACCACGGCAACATTCGGTACGCCGCTCTCGGAAAAGTTGCTTTGTTTATTATGGTAACCATGACAACCGAGTCCAGTTAGTCATGCAGTCGTAGGGGCGATATTTGAGGAGACACTCCCATGGATCGCATCAGAAGCTTGCTCCTCGCCAGTAGGAGCGCTATATTACGAAACAGCCCTCTGGGTCGTTCATGAGGGAAGGCACAAACGACCGACATGCTCGTATGGATTGGAGGACTTGTGAATCTCACCATGATTCGGCCATTGCTCTGCTCAGAGGAAGATGAGTGGGACACTCTGTGATGGTAGAAAGGCCTCTCAAGTCTAGAGGCGGAGGTCGAGCTGTGAACAGAGGAAGGACACAGTCATTAGATCGGTTATAATTCCATGTGCCACAGAAAGGTCAGTTTCCAAACAGGGTAAAGATCATTGTGAGGAAAAAGGTCAGTGTGTCTGATGTTTCCTATAAATCAGCATGTGATCAAAATCATCACCATTTTCAATTGAACATTTATAGAGCCAGTTTAAAGCTTGCCAAATACCCCACACTCCAAAACATATTTGAGACCCCCTACACAAAGTAAAAGCTCAGGCATGTCATGACTTACCCCTCCTCAAGCGAGGCTTCAGGTGCCGGTGAACTGGAGGTGGCGCGAGATCTCCAGACTGACACATCAGTGAGCTGAGCGACGTGGAGGGTTCTACATTACAGTGTGGGTTGAGGAAAGAGAAAGTCCTGGGGCTCATGGGGATGTAACCATCACATTCAAACGTGGAAACAGAGGCAGAGGGAGAAGCCATAGGGACATATGACTCATCCTGGTAACTTTGAACCTGTGTGGTATTTAAACAAGGCTGCTGAAAGACAAAGGGTCACGAGATCAAACAAGTGCACGATGATGTCATTTTGGTCCAACTGGAGCATTTATTCAGTTTAATGACATGAGTTTTTTTTTTTATTATAAAAATAAGACTACCACTAGGGGTGGTTAAGGTGTACATTTTTGATCCTACAGTGGCTTTAAAGGAATAGTATGACGTTTTGGGAAATGCACTTTCTTGCCAAGTCTTAGATGAGGAAATCAATACACTTTTGTGTCTTTTATTTATTTTTTGTTTTGGGGTTTTTCTGCTGTTGATTATTTTCTTACCAAATTGAGACTCTGCCTTCTGTTCCTCATCAACCTGCTTTCAGCATCTCCTAAAAAGAACAAAAACAAGGTATATTATTACAACAGTTTACTTTCAGAGGCAGAAGACATGAATCCGTATGCTTCCCTATCATAACAGCACCAGGATCATGTTTCACTGTGTTGGATGGCTTCGCTTCTGAACTGTGAGGATGTGTTTCTGTTGATTCACCCATTCTGAAATGGTCCAGGCTCGACAAAGACGTCCTCCGGGGAAAGAGTGCAGCGTGACTTGAGAAATGGCGTACACTCATCGCCCTCTGCTTGTGAGCCCCCTCATCACTGAGCTGCTCTGACAGGTGATTTGGCTTGGGTGGCAGCGGAGGAGGTGTTTGTCTGTCGTTCGTCGCCTCAAACGATGCAGAAGAATATGGTTTGTCAAACTGGAAGACACTTGTGGCAGAGTGACGTAGAGGAGAGGAAGAGGATGACGGTAGAGCCATGGAGGTGCATGGGGCGCTGAAAGGAGGGTTAGTCAGCTTTCCATGGGGGAACAGAGAAGGGCTGGGGCTTGCGTGAGAGAGGGATGGAGAGGAATCGGTGTACAGAGGTGAGGGGACAATGTCCTTGACCGCATCGTCTGAGGACTTCTGCTCCAGAGAGATCTCAGAGTTTGAAAAGCTGTCATGTCTACAGATACAGAAAGAATGGAAACATTTGTCAGACATGAACTTGCCATCATTTCATCCTGTGTGGAGGGTTTTACTGACTATACGTACCTACTAGTGCTTGCAGTCCCTGTCTCACACTGTGACAGAAAGAGGTAGTCCAGGGGATGACTGGAGTCTGGTTGGCTTGATACAGACACTCGGTCAGAGCTGTCAGGTGATCTCTGCAGGGAGGTGGGGGTGTGAGGAAAGCCTTCTTCTGAGCTCTCTGTAGAGGAGGGGAGAAGGGCAGTGAACATCAGAAATATTAAAACCACCCAGAGTAAGATAAGAAAACTGCCGTCAAACACTGGCACACAAACCAAACACAAGCACACAGGCAGGTTTCTCCAGGCCTGTTCTCAGAATGTGCTGTAAATGGAGCAGGTGAATTTGAAAAGAGGAAGGGTATTTTATACAGGCAGGTTGAAAGTAGACACACGAGCCCTGTTCCCTCTTTTGTTTATATAGTCTCCATCTTTCTCTCAGGTTGGCCCACGTTCAGAAATTTGTTTCATTCCATTTCACCCAAGGCCACTGAGTCAAGGCTTCAGAGCCACGAGGGAGAAAAAGTCTTTGCATGTTCTCATGAAACATTTGCTCTCCTTAACAGATTCTTGTGTTCTCTTGTGGCTGCAGAACAACCTTTTATATTCCCTGACAGAGTTTCTGAGATGCCCTGTCACACAGCTCTTTTCAGATCCAGGTGGAATCTGGTGTCTGAAAGCTCTAGATTAAAGCGACATCACTTCAGTGTGAGGAATACAATTTAGCATGTGATTTATGGTAACATGCAGGGCAGCATATCAGCAGCTGTCTGCCGTTGCTCTATCTCCTTCACACAGATGATAATGTTCTAACAGAAAGTCTTTGCTTTTGCCTCAGATGCATAAACACAGTGATGTTTTGTGCAAAGGTCAAAGCAGCGTTACCCTGAGAAAAAACTGTGCAAAATAAATGTAAATATAGGGATATAAAACACAAGAATACAGGGGCTTTTATTGCCAATTAAAGGCATTAAATGAAAACTTTAATGTTATACAAAGAAAAATTAACCCACAGAAGATGGTATCTAATTCATCCCCAGTGTACGTTCACGGAAGCAATAAAATCTCATTATTTATCTGTTCATTTGAGGGTGACCTCAGTGCTCCGTTGATCTGCTGTTATCTCCAGTTGCAACATTAAACTGCATGACACAAACTGTAGGAAACATCTTCAAGCAGATTCTATAATCCAACATATGAGGTCACCTTTTATATATATACAATTTATATATCATCTTTATTCATTTACAGTCCAGAGGAGTTAAAACATATTTATACTATAATGCTGTATTTACTCATGGTTGTTGTTGCTGCGGTATAAAGAGCAGCAGATATGATTTTTATCAAATGTATAACCACAGTGTGAAGATGTGTGACTGTGTTTAAGAGCTCAGTTACACAGAAATGTATCAGCCTGTTTGACCGACCTGAAGGCAACACAACAAACTGTTGTATGTTTTTTTCATCTGATGGTCAGGAAATCTGCTACTTCAACGAATATTATTCAGATTGATTAAATTTACTTCTTCAAATCTGGATTTCCCCTCTGGTGTTTTCAGATTAAAAAAAACTGGGATTAACCATAAAAACATGGCATTCCCCAGAAGTGAAGGGAGTTGTGGTGTATCACATGTCTATTTTCACTACCTTGAATTTTATTTTGGGAAATGGTTCAATTCAGAGAGAATTCCCTGCAGCTTTAAAGAGGGGCTCATTACATTTTGATCCTAAAATAGATCCTGTGATTCTGAGTTTGTTTATTTTTTCAACTCTTTTAACAATATCACATGAAAATTTTATAAAATTATTATTGAGTTTTGTTGTAAAGGGATAAAGCAGCTGAGATACACGTCATTTCAGAGCCACAGTCTCAGTTCATATAAACTACTGACCCAGTCCAGCTTTATGTCAATTCTCAGACCCGCCACAATGGGAACAGGATTCTGGGAAATCACTTCCACCAAATGAGTAGGAATAAGTTCAGAAAGACTCACTATTGTCTAAGTCAGTGAGACTGAGAACTATTAAACTGAAAATAGCTTTGGCTTTTTGGTTGCAAACACGGTGATTTGATCAAATTGGAAAGTGTGAAAAAAAAACTGATTTGTAATAGAAAACTGGCTTCAGGATTTAGTTTTAACAGTTTGAGTATGGAAGAGAATGACAACTCAAACAGCATTTAATGCCCTTTGACCAGGTTAAACCAGGTTTATTAGGTCAAAGACATTTAACTAATGAAAATTTAAAGCTGTGGGCTCCTAAACTCAGTGACTGTTCCTTTATGTTTTCAGTATTTTTCTTCTCTTAAGGCTGTTGAAGCCATTAAATACAGAGAGATAAAAGGTAAATATTCATGTCTAGTTCAACTAAACATTGCACATGTTCACCATATAATCATGTTAATATGTTGTGAGACACTTAACCTTCAAAATATTTAAAATGTATATATTTTTTTGTCTCTCTGTCTGTTGTATTTCATCTGCACATTTTTCTGTCTATATTGAAATAAAAAATAAAAACATGTTCATCACTCTACCACTTCCTTGAAATGACTCAAACCTGGCACACCATGGAAATGTTCAAGCTAGTTTGTGCATTATTGTATAACTGTTGTCTGAAACTGGTTTCAGTTAAAGCTCTGGACGTTGACAGCCCCAACTTTCCCCCAGTTGCTCCCTGTTTTCACAAGATATAGGAGAATTGTACTTCAATATTGAAAAATCATGTGAGTTAGTGATCAGCAAAGACCTTGTGCATGTTTGAAACTGGTCTAGTCTGTTGTTTTACCAAAACCACACAGCACAAAAGGAACAGTCTGTTTTGACCTAAATTCAAGGTTTGACTTTCACTCCGCAACTTCCTGTGTGGAGACAAGTGACACCAACTTCTTCTGGACCAGTGGAGTGAATCAACAGTAACACTCTGATTTTCAATGGGACAGGTATATACAGGTACATACAGGTAGGTATATACAGGTATATGCTCTGTGTATTTACCTGCATCCTCCAGGCTCCCAAACTGACATATCTGACTGATGCTACTGATCCAGCTGTTCATCTCCTCCTCAGTCTTGGCCACCAGGTAAAAAATGCGAGATGAGGTCTTCACCACAAAGAGGTGCTTCCCATGGAAGTCTCTCTTTATCCTGAGTTGTCCGTTGAGCATTTCGACCTCACACTCTCTCAGGTCGATGGTGCGGATTGGCTTCTTGGAGTTCTTGCTTTGGTAGTACTCCAGCACGTCAGGATTACCGCTCATCCGACCTCTGCGAAGCACAAACCAGCGTTTCCTCCACGCCTGAAGAGAAAGACACAAACAGTGTATCATGGAGTCTTAACTTACACTATCATATTATTCCTTTTCAACACAGAGCTTCATGATTCAACAGTAATGCCTCCCCCCATGACTACAATTAGTCATGACCAGTCATGAGAATTAGATCACAGCTCCTGCTCACAACAGCTAACCTAGCAACTTTAAACTTGAAGTCTTGATATGGTCAGTAAGCGGAACCTCAGCTCTAGTTTCCCAGAAGTACAGAGAAGAGGAAGTTCACTGTATTTAACAGAAAATGTCGAACACGAACGAAAGAGGTATTTATACAACACGGTCACTGCTTCATACTGACAACCTCCTGAAAACTAAACACTGTCGTTTCTAGCTCCAAAGATCTACCTGAGCCCTCGCTGCAGAGGGTGCTAGTCATGAAGGGGTTAAATGTTATTATTAAAAATAGTAATGATTAAAAAGAATTGGTTACGGTGACGATGAGTGTAAAGCTGTTTTGTGGTTTTGTGTACATGGTATGGGTGGATCCTGCTTTGTGTGCTGTGAAAACTAAAAGCATAACATGGGAGGTGATCTGCTCCTGCACAAGTCAGTTGGTAATTTATGTGTTCACACCAGGAAATGGTTAGACACACACACTTACTGCCAAAAACAAGGTTAAGAGGAAACCGAAACTAGATGGAAATTTGATAGATGTTTTGAATCTGGAAGATGTGTCCTCTTAAAATATGTTGTTGTATAAACACGCGATGCTAATCAAACACTCATAATGTACATAATGTAATGTTATATGAAGTCTTTTTTGTTCTGATCTTTCAGAAAAATAGAACACAAGTAAATACAGAGCAAGTCAGAAGGTTTCACCTTCTTTATCTCATGGTCTTCCTCAGGAGATGGTGAACATTCATTCAATCATTCATTCATTCAAATGTAAATGTAAATCTTGATAAAAGACTACAAACAATAGTGAGTAAGGGCCAACCTCACCACCCTAGGCAGTGGATGGGACACAGCAGATGAGCGTTAGACACATTTGTCATGGCAGTGAATGGAGATGTAATGTTGGCACAAAATGAGACAACAGGTTGTTCCAAGGCTGAGAGGATGAAGTGAAAAGAAAGGTAAACTAAGGAGCTAGAGCTAAAGTCAGCAACCCAACCATCACCTATACAGCAGGTGTGGTGACTAAGCGAGGATCTTCATGTTCTTCCGATGACATCATACATAGCCATTATGGACATTTCCATAATCGTCTGTACCTGACATTTGAATAATCAGGCAGATAGTGAACCTGTCCTCACAACAGTCTGAAAAAAATGTATTTACTTTGTTCTCTGTCATCAACAACATTTGCATGGCATGCTAAAATAACTTTCTATTTCCCGCCCCAAACCCCCATCAGCACACTGACACCTTGATCCACTCTCCTCCCTGCACTGCTGTTGATAAATGCCCTCCTCCGCCTCTGTTCACAGGGGAAGTGCAAACAGCCGTCACAGAGCTGGACTATTTCTGCTTGTCGCTGAAGTCTGAAGAGTCTGACTGCTGCTGACACTGCTTTCCATGTTTCACAATATACACGGTCATCACACACACACACACACACACACACACACACACACACACACACACACACACACAGCACAGTGAGTGGCCAACATTATCACATGACCCCAACAACCACAAAACACTGAAGCCTCTATATGTCCATGTAAGCAGTTATGTATATATACTTAGTACTGCAGCGTGTGACATGTTGTTCTTATCATAATACTGGAGGTTGTTGTTTGAACTCTGAAGTATCTCCACAACAACACAACAACACAACAGTGAGGTGGCTTATAGAAATGAGGAAGACAATACAAAGGAGACTGAATTACAGCTCAGTTTAACAAAAGCAGATAAGCCTCCAGTATGTTTCCAAGTCCTCATTCCACATCATAACACACACACACACACACACACACACACACACACACACACACACACACACACACAGAGCACAACCTGGCATTCCTACAGAGGACATAAACAAGTGTCCAGTGTGTCCTACTCACAAATCTCTTCAGTTTCTTCTCCGGGGGGGATTTGATGAGCCAGCCGGTGCAGACCACATCCCCAGCACTCATCTTGACTGCAGAGCGTGTCGTCCTCACGGCGGCTGCTGCTGCTGCTGCTGCTGCTGCTGCTGCTGCTGCTGCTGCTGCTGCTGCTGCTGCTGCTGCTGCTGCTGCTGCTGCTGCTGCTGCTGCTGCTGCTGCTGTGAAACTGAGAGCACTGCGAAGCATATCCTGTGTTCTGGTATTCAGCCCAGCCACTCCAAAGGAGGAAGTCAAGAAACTGATCACACTGACATAGAGAGACAGAGGAGGGGAGAGAGAAAGAGAGAATAATGTTTATTTTCTCAAGTGCTCGGGGCAAGTGGATGTTGGGCTGTAGGGAAGACAAAACAAATCATGAGGTTTGACAGGTTTGAGTTGCATTGACCTACTGAATAACACAGAGACTCTGAGTCACGTCGTTCAAAGATCTTATCTTTAATACGATGAACATGTTATTGATTTCATGTTGCTGTTGTAATGTTGTTTATTTGTTTGTTTGTTTATGTGGTTTGTCAACTCTACAGAAACAAGAAATGCTTTTAACAGAGAGAAACAGACTAAAACACAGACCTCAGGCTGGTTTCTTAGTAACTGAAGGGGCATGAGGAACTGTAAATCCTTATCGTCTGGTTGGAGGATCAGGAACTCATTATGAATCATAGTCATTTTATTTTATCATTGATTATATGTGTTGTTTTTGTGTATTTTGTATAATATATTTTCTTACAAAGATACTTAGATGATGCTATGACATGTGATATAGGCCCAAAATAAACATTGAGTATTAGTAGTAAAAGTACTAATAATAGTGTGAGTGCGATATTGATATTAATAATAGTAGCATTGTTGGTCATAATATTAGTGGTAGAACCAGAGGTAGGGTACAGTTATATTAAGTCTAGATAAGTCCCTAATTTGTGTTAATTATTCTAACTTTAACATGATTATCAGTCACGTGATCGAATACATTATGAACACATGAGACACAGATGAGCTAATGAAATACACAAAAGACAACAGCAACACAAAGGCTCGTTTTACATCAAATGATCTTTCATCCTGTGAGAGAAGTTCATTATTAACTTCTCTTGACAGTAAAAACAAAGACATCCCACGAATCATTTAAATTTCCTCTCTGAAGGGAAGTACATACATCCTCATTGTCAAAATAAAACTGTTAAGGAGAATCAGCTGTGTCAACATGAACAACAGACACAGACACAGTGTGAAGTCCACTGCAGAGGGAAACAGTGTGATCTCTCAATATTCAGTCAGTCAGTAAATACTGTCAACAGACACAATGTCACCTCTGTAGATTTCAGTTAAGCCACCAGAGGGCGACATAGTGACCTAGTTTATCACATCACTGGTAAATTTCATATTCATACATTATGACTCAGTGAAAACCCAATGAAGATTTGTCTGCATGACTTACATTACACCCACATACAATAATAATGTTTTCATTTAGTTAAAATACAAATCCATGGATATAAATACTTACATGACAGGGGCAGTTTTCTCTTGTTCTACTTTTTTTACCTCCTGTGTTTTCAGTGACATATATTTAATATATTCCTTTTATTCACTGATATTATATATTCATGTGTTTATGGTTAATTTACTCACAAAAAGTTAATATTATGTGCTGTACTTCTCGGTTACCTCCCCCAGACGGTTGTTTCGGTTTCTTGGAAAATTTCTCCTGATCGAGTTGCAGTACATTCAACCGTCTGTGGAGGGCAGCAGTGAACCTGGGTTGTATTTTAACTGCAGAAATGTCGGGAACAAGAAATTGGTTTACGACTACAGTTTATAGTTAACGATAGTCACCAAAGAGCCTGAAGAACAGAGGTGGAAAGTGGTGCCACATGGTGTTACACAGTTTAAAACAGAGAGTGTGTGTCACGTGAGAAGCAGTAACATTCAGTCTGTAGCTGGTGACTGTAGCTCTGTAAAATCCTCTGATCCGTCACAACACAACCACAACAACAAAACCCTGTCCATCCGTTTGAGACTTTAGCGAACTCACGTTCACCGCTGCCGCCATCTTTCCGTCAATGGCGTTATCCTACCTTCGTTTTCTAGCGGTGACCAATCTGAGGTGTTCGAAGAGACGTTACAATTACCCATGATTCCCTTCAAACGTATGACCTGTGTCTGGCCTTGGCGTGTAGCGCGGTGCTGCTAGTTGTCAGTACGTGCTGTCTATAGGACTTGATCAGCGGTACCTAGCCAGTGGTCCTATCCGACAAGTCGGCTACTGAACCGGGAACCGTCACGCGGAGCTAAGCCACGATGCTGAAATGTAGAACTGTGTGGAAGAAGCTTGCTCCTCTGGCGAGAGACTCATCAACTCTGAGCCGGCAGAGTGTGAGAAGAGCAGGTCAGTCTCCAGGCACAGTGACTGTCTCCTGGTTAGCTGGCCTCAATTCAAACACACGTTACACACAGTGTCGGTTTATTAAGACAGGTTAATGTCCGCTAGCTTGGTTTATAGTCTGAACATTTGTCTGTTACAGTGCTAACTTAGCGAATTAGCAAACAGTTTCATGCAGAAGTGACATGTCGATAATTTGCTAACTTCAACCATACTGCATCTCACTAGTTGTAGATGTTACAGTCTGTCAGACAGATAGTGAATAAAATGTTTCACTGTCAAACACGTTCCCGCCACGTTAGCATTCAGGTTGTAGTGTGTCTGTTCAGTGGTACAACATATTCTGTACCTCGTCAGATTTTTACCACCATCACGGTGTTGTTGTTGTTTCAGTCCCTGACAGGAGAAATTCAATGGGTACATGACTATAGGTGACTGGACTGTCTCATGTCGGGAGTCAGTAGAGGAAAGTGTGTGTGTGTGTGTGTTGTCTTCAATTAACACAATTAACAGACAGGGATTCTGTTGAAGTGTGTGAGTCCCTTCATTCTGGGGATTGTCAAGTCAAAGCTGCTGAAATGCTGACATGTAATATTCAGCTTAAGGTGCTCACATTGAGGATCTTGTGATATAATAAAATAAAGATAATAAATTATTTATACAACATGTTTCCTAATAAAGGTAGAAAAGATCAAATGAATAGGAGTAATCAGATTAAATAACAACCTATGTCAAACATTTTGACAGCAGCAAAGGACTTAGCATGTCTGACTTCAACAGGCAGGTTGTTCCAGAGGGTGGGTGCTCTGATAGCAAAAGCCCTGTCACCTTTTGTCACAAGCCGAACCTGGGAGGACCCAGCTGGGATCCACCAGCAGATATCGGTGGTGGACAGGACGCACACCTGGTCAGTAAACCAGATAGGTGTTCAGGAAGAAAGTGATTTAAGGCCTGTAAGGTGAGCAGTGACATTTTGAGATCATTTCTAAATCAGGGAGTCAGTGTGAAGAGGAAAGTAGCAGGGTGATTTGATCATGGCTCTTTGTCCCTGTAATAAACTGAGCAGCAGCAGTTTGAAACAGCTGGAGACGGGGGAGTGGGTCCTGACCGATACCCGAGGAAAGAGATAAAATGAGACATGTTTTCTTTGCCAACATCCACAGGCAGATCCTACAGATGTATTACACAGCTAGCAGTATTTACACAAATAGCTTCAACTTTTGAGATTGCTTGTCTGCATATTTCACATTGTCACCAAGCTAGTAACTCATGCATTTAAACACCTCTTCACATGGTATGACTATAGAAAAGATGGTGGAACACATGGTGTCATGCTTGTTGTGTCTCGCCCAATCTTCACTCTTCAGTCAGCCAAATAGCAGTAAGCTACTGACTGATCAGTGATGTGTTGTGATTCAGCTGTGTTGTCAGTCAGACAGCTGCAGCCTGATCAACATAAACAAAGGATCTCCTGTTTTGGTGTTTTACTGAACTAACTAAAGTCATTTTCAAACGTGACCGATTTAATCTGTTAATCCAAGTTCAGTGTGATAGTCAACACGCTCTGAAGACTGAAGTTGATGCAGTTTATTTGTTTCCTGTCTTCAGGGCTGACCAATGGCAGTGCAGTACGTGTACCAGCAACCCACATGTCCAGCGGGTCTGCAGGGGGAGGAGGGGAAAATAAGCTGTACGTCCTCCTAGTCGGAGCTGCCTGCCTTGGTGGGGGAATATATGTGAGTTGTGACATGCAGCACATTCATCAAAAGTTATTGGGTTCATTTGAATATAAACATTGTTTGCCTGTTCAGATATTCACACCTCACAGTTGACTGGATCTGATTGGCAGATTTGAGCATTTTTTGTTTTCATAGGCCTACCGAACCGTAAAGGGAGACCAACAGAGATATATGGAACGTATGGCAGAAATTTCATCCAGACCTCATAAAGCAGCCTCACAAAAAACAACCATACCCTCCCAATCAGAGCCTCCTGGTGAGAGTCTTTAATAACTGGTATTACTGATTATAAAACTTTGACTGATTGCAATGAAGAATTTCACATTTTGAATATGTTTTTGTTGTTTTTTGTTTTATTTTAGCTGTAGAAGCCACTGAGACAGAAGGTGAGTTATGTCTGACTAAATACTATATGTCTTCTGTTATGACCTCTGTCAATAACTTAATACATAGTCTGACTGACCCATGATACAGTGTGATAATGAAGAAAAAGCTTGTTCATGAGCTACAGACATCTGATATAACAGTATATATAGTGTTTTCTGTGTGACTCTTTGTTTTTAAATTGGAGTTGAAGGTTTTTTGCTGTAAAATCAGCTGAAGTGCACAGTGCAGCTTCCTCCTTATTGGCTTGTAAACAGCTGATGTTGGGACAAAACAAACTGTATTTAAATTATTTTTGTGACCAAATGTCTTCTCCCTGATCTGTTTCTGATTAATTAATTGTCTGAATGTCACATGATATATTGAATATCAGTCTAAGTTGATCACTTCATAGCTGCTTGATCAGTCTGTTAATTTCTGTCTCAGCCGTCCCTGAGCCAAAACTTCAAGCAGCACTTTCACCAGAGGAGCCGAGTCCTCCGGCCCCTGATGCTGAAGCAGCGGCCCCCTGTGAATCAGCTGAACCACTCCCAGGTAGTCTGATTCTGTCCTACACTTCTAAATGCATGTGTATAAAGGGCCT